GTTCCTTGTTTTTCAGTGCAGCATAGTATTCCATCGTGTGAATATACCAGAGCTTCTCTATCCATTCATTTGTTTATGGGCATTTGGGTTGTTTCCAACTCTTTTCTATTGTGAACAAAGCTAATGACATCATTTTAAAGACTTAAGGTGCACCTCTCCAGAATACTCAAGAACAACAGTGTCTCTCTGGAGACTAAGGTCCGCCTGATACAGGCCATGGTCTTTGCAATCACTTGTTATGCATCAGAGAGTTGGACAATGACTAGGGAGGATAGAAGGAGAATTGACACCTTTGAGCTGTGGTGCTGGAGAAGAGTATTGAATGTAGCATGGACTGCCAAGAAAACAAACAGATTCATCGTAGAGAGGATTAAACCAGGCTGCTCCTTGGAGGCAAGGATTCTGGGGCTTCGTCTGACATACTTTGGACATGTTGTAAGGAGAGACAGGTCTTTAGAGAGGGACATCATGCTGGGTAGAGTAGAGGGACAGCGCAGGAGGGGAAGACCCTCTATGAGGTGGATTGATTCAGTGACTGGGGTACTCGGGATGGGAGTGTCAGAGGCAATGAGATTGGCACAGGATAGAGCAGGGTTTAGGGCTGTTGTACATAGGGTCGCTATGAGTCGCAAACGACTCGACGGCACATAACAACAACAACAACAAGGTGCACCTGATCCAAGCCATAGTGTTTTCAGTTATTCTCTATGCATGTGAAGGTTGGGCAGTGACTAAGGATGAAAGACGAAGAACCGATGCCTTTGAGTTACGGTGTTGGGGGAGGGTACTGACTGACTATACAGTGGAGTGCCAAGAGAATAAATATGGCTCAGAGAAAGTGCAGCCAGTGGGCTCCTTCCCGGGAAGGATGATGAAACTTCCTCTTACATACCTTGAGGCGTGTTATTAAGAGAGGCCAGTCTTGGAAAAACACATCATGCTTAGAAAAGTGAAGGGTCAGCAAAAGATAGGAAGACCTTCAAGATGACTTGATGCTGTGACTGTTTCCATGGACCCCGTGTAGCAGAGATGATGAGGATGACATGAATAAGACAGGGTTTGGATCCATTGTTCATAGGGTGTCTGTGAGTCCTAGTCTGCGTGATAGCTCCTACCAACAACAGCGTGGGCATACGGCACTTGTCTGTCAGTTTGCTGTCCTCGAGTGACTTGCAGGTTGCGGTGATGATGGAAGTCACGCCACCAGCATTTCAAATACCAGCGATATCACCCGTGGTGGACGGGTTTCAGTGGAGCTTCTAGTCTACGACAGACAAAGAAGCAGCATTGGCCATCCACTTTTGAATAACCGGCCTTTGCAAACTATAAATAACAGAGGAACATTGTTAGATATAGCATTGAGAGTACAAACTCTGAGATTGGAAAATGTTGTTGTTGTTGTTATGTGCCTTAGATTCACTTGAGACTCATAGCCACCCTATGTACAACAGCCCTAAACTCTGCTCTATCCTGTGCCAACCACACTGTCTCCGACACACTCATCCCGATTATCCCAGTCACTGAATCAATCCACCTCATAGAGGGTCTTCCCCTCCTGCGCTGTCCCTCCACCCTACCAAGCATGATGTCACTCTCCAAAGACTGGTCCCTCCTTACACCATGACTAAAGTATGTCACATGAAGCCCCACAATTCTTGCCTCCAAGGAGCAGCCTGGTTTAACCCTTTCCAGGATGAATCTGTTTGTTTTCTTAGTAGTCCATGGTACCCTCAATACTCTTCTCCAGCACCACAGCTCAAATTCTCCTTCTATCCTCCCTGGTCATTGTCCAACTCTCTGATGCATAACAAGTGATTGCAAAGATCATTACCCGTATCAGACACACCTTAGTCTCCAGAGTGACACCATTGCTCTTCAGTACTTTGGAGAGGTCCCTAACAGCAGACTTTCCCATGGCAGTACATCTTTTAATTTCCTGGCTACTGGTGCCAAGAGTGTTGTTTGTGGAGCCAAGCAAACTAAAGCTGTGAACAATCTCAATCTCTTCACCATCCATCCTGATGCTGCCAGTTGGCCCAGTATTGAGAATCTTTGTCTTCTTGACATTGAGCCTCAAGCCATACTGAAGCTGCAGTCCTTGACCCTCTGCAGCAAGCGCTCAGCAAACTGAGGTCCTCCTCAGTTTCAGCAAGCAAGGTTTTGTCATCTGCATAACTTAAAAAAGAAAATTAGTTGTGTAGCTGCAAGGATACATTAATAAGTAGAACATGAAACATACAAAGTTTAAATCTAGGAAAGTGGTTCATTGTCGCAATGACCTGGAAAGCAGAAAGATGGACAGCCTAGGTGGTAATGGCCTGAGATGGACTAATGTTGGCCACTTTGGATCAGATAATCCTATAATCTATTGTGTCGGGAAGGAAAAATTGAGGAGGTTTGGTGTTACATTCATAGTCAAGAAGACCATTTCAGTGTCTATTGTGAAGCACAAGGCTCTGAGTGTTAGAATACTGCTATCCATGTACATACAAGGGAGACCTGTTAATATAGCTATTATTCAAATATTCGCACTTACCAAAGCCAAAGGCGAAGAAATTGAGAATTTTACCAATTTTTGCACTCTGAAATGGGCCAAACATGTAGTCGAGCTCCATTTACAATAGTTGATGACTGGAATGCAAAATTGGGAACAGAGAAGGACTTATAGTTGGAAAAACATGTGATAGGAATCAAACTGGAGATCACGTGACAGAATTGTATACAATCAGTGATTTATTCATTGTAAGTACTTTTTTATTTTAATGATGATTTTAATGAAAATTTACAGAAGAGTTACATTTTTATTCATTCATTGTTGCACATTTTTACCTCCTCTCCCTCCCTTCCCTCTCCCCCAGTTCACTTTTGTGTTGTTTTTTTTTTAATATTCATTCATTGTTGCGCATTTACCTCCCTCCTCCTTCCCCCAGTCCTCTTACTCTGGATTCTTGTCATACGTGTAATGCCTAATCATATATTCCTTTTAAACAGTTCTTTTCTTCACCTGTTCCCGTGCAGTGTTCATTATTTGTCCACTCTTACCCTATTTTCCTCTTTACTTTCCACAAACCAGACTGTGTTACTTCCTCAGGTTGTTAATGAGTCTTCCTCCAGCCCTGATGCCACATTCTTCTTCATATAATTCAGCTTCTCCAATGATTCGGTCAGCATACAGGTTAACGAGGTGTGGAGAAAGGATCCACCTTGATGCTCACCCTTGTTGATTTTAAACCATGCAGTGTTCACTTGCTCTGTTGAGACCCAGCTTCTTGGTCTAGGTGTAGGTTTCACATGAGCATAATTAAATGTTCTGGTGTTCCCATTCTCTTCCCATAATATATTATGATCCACACAGTCAGGGGTGTAGAATTCAGTTCGAGTCAACTAGCAGAGGCCTGTGCTCTGAACTACATCTTTGGAGGATAGGATACAAGGGACAGGGGCAGCTAGTGGGAAAGAGGAAAGGCACTGGGGTCAGGAGTCACAGAGAAGGTCAGTAGACTTTGATGTGATTGTGCCCCAAATCCTAATTTCAATCCCTGCACATAGTTTTGCGTGGTGCCTGTCTCAAGTACGTGTCTAAGAAGACTTCCATGGGGAGCTCTGGTGGTCTTATGGCAAGGAGCTGCAACTACAATCCCAGAGGTGCACGGTTCGAATCCACCAGATGCTCTGCCGGGAAAGGAGGGACAATCTCCTCCTATACCAGTCAGATCTAATTTGATGGTACACTCACACAAAAATAAAAAAAGAAAGAAGGCTTCCAGCCTGCTGCCTGTCCAGCCTCATAGGCTCAGCCCAGTCTTGCCAGCAACAGCTAATCCCTCCTGGCACAGTCACCTGATTTCTCTCTTTTGCCCTGTAATGGTAGCTCAGAGTCTACCTGTAAACACATCGACCAAGTTCAGACCCAACCGAAAACACGGTAGAGTGGACACTGTAGGAAGTGAGGCCGAAGCCCTGGTGCCTTGGAAAACAGCGTTTCCAGTTACATCTGATTTGGGAGAGTTGAAGATTGTTGGATTCTAGAAAGGTTGTTTGAAGAGCCACTGAGCTGAATGTGAACAAGGGTTGGGAAGGAAACAGGTGACTGAGGGGTATGACAGAAGAAATGCCAGTGGTCCACTAGAAAATTAATACACCCTTTAAATGGAAATGTTGGAAAATATTGTTACAGTTGAATTGGTGGAGTCCTCTCTCCACACTTCCTTTCAAGGAGGGAGGTCCGTCCTGTTAGGGATATAACTTTTTAATAAACTTATCTTTATTATTTTAACCTCAAAAAAAAAACCCCAAAAAAACCAAACAGACAAACAATTGAATTGGTGGATCATCTGCAGCTCCCAAAGAAAACGTGGCTGGCTTTTCCTTGATTGCACTACGTGTTGTATTTCAGCGCCGTTGAGTTGACTCAGTGGCCATGTGCACAGTGATTTGGAACTCAGCCCTATTCAGTGCCATTGTCATGATGAGGCCTGCTATGTTAAAGGTCATTGTTTCGGTCACAGCGTCATTTCGTCACTTTGAAGGGCCTCCCTTCTACCTTCCCCACCAACACACCCAAAGTCTGTGAGCTGAAGTTTCCCCATCCTTACCTCTAAGGAGCACACTGGTTGCTGCAGGACTTTATGATAAGATTAAAGGCTGCAGGGCCTGGAATTGGGCGGCGACTCACCCTGTCTGTCACCGTGGAAATCCCTTCTTCCATCGCTCTACCCTCAGAGTCACCAGTGTCCCTTACCACTATGTCCCCTTGGTAGGCTCACCCATTTCTAATAATCTTTCTTCAACAGCTTTCTAGTCTGTCCATGGCCAGAAAGGCTCAATCTGTCCTTTAGTCCTCTACTGTGGCTTTCCTTAATAGCTGAAACTTAAAAGATCACCTGAATTCTCAGTATTACCTCTGTATGCCGGTGTGTGCCCAGCAGGGGTGATTTCTTCTCGGATGTGAAAGTGAACCTGAAATTTTCTATTTTTTTTTTCCTTCCCCTGTATTTCAGGGACAGGCGTTTGCTTCAGCCGGCCCAAGTGTGTGACATTTTGAAGGGCGTCATTTTAGTCATCTGCTATTTCATGATGCACTACGTGGACTACTCCATGATGTACCACCTGATCCGAGGGCAGTCTGTCATCAAACTCTACATCATCTACAACATGCTGGAGGTGAGACCGAGGCGCCCGCGTGGTGTCCAGCCCCCATCCCGCACAGGCCGGGCCTGATGGTGCTGGCGCTCTTCCAGGGCAGAAGCCCCAGGAAATCTTACAGTGGGGATTCGGGGTCAGCAGACCGGAGGGGGCAGTGGGATTCTGTATGTCAGACAGTCGAGTCCCTGGGGCACAGCCGGAGTGGTGGGTTCTTGGGGTGTGCTGTTTCCTCCGACACACCTGCCACCTAGATGTGACCGGATCAGTACCCCCTGAAATTGTAAGTTGTGCACATGGGCGAAATTTGTTTTGTAAATCTATTAGAAAGCCATGCACACTTTTTTGCCAGAAATTTAGGAATTACAAAGAAAGCATTATGTTTGTACATTATTGCTGTAACAGATTTGCTTTGGAATTTTACAAACAGCAAGTGAACATAATTGTTTTTCTAAGCACTTGACGTTTTAAGTATAATAGATTCCACTTTAAAGAAATCAACATAGGAAAATGTGCATTTTTGTACAAAAAAGAAAGTTAAGCAGTTAGATATTCACTTTATAGAAAACATTTTGGGTTGTTTTACAAAAACATAGTTGTTTTGGTGTGGTGTGTTTTCCAAAATAGTAGTTACTGTGTGATGAGATGTGACGTTGCAGATCTGAGATACTGCGTTTCTCAGCTCTGGTGGCCTAGTGCTAAGAAGCTACATTGCACCACTAAAGGTATATGGTTTGAATCCACCATTCGCTCTGCTGGAGAATGATGGACAGTCTCCTCTCGTGTGACTTACTGCCTCTAAAAACTCGCTGGAGGGTCACTGTGGGTGGTTCTGACTTGATGGCACACAACGACAACTAGTTACAGGCTATATAGTGAAATCAGACATCCAAAATGCATTTCTCTGCACTACGTCCTGGGTGGGTTCTCGGTACTACATATGCAGAGGAGCACAAGTGTCCCATATTTGAAGTTAGCCGGGAGGGGACTTTCCGCAGGGAGCAGACGGGTGGGTGGACCGCCAGCCCTCCTGCTTGGACTCTGCACTGGCGGTGGATGAAGGCATTCAGCTCTGCTCAGCGCGGCCTCCGAGGAGCCGTCCTGGCTGCTGGGAAACTCAGTGAAGGCTGCTTCAAGCCCTCACCACAGCGTCATGGCTCTAGGCTCACTGTGCACATGCTGGCCTGACCTGTGGCCAGGTGGGATGCACGGTGGTGTGGGTTGAAGTGTGTGAAGGAGACCAGCAGGTCTCGCTGTGCCCTCCCTGTCACAGAGAGAAAACCACAGCACCCTCCCACCCCCAACCTCCTCTCTGCTTTCTGAGGTGCTCGCTCTTCTGCCAGCGCCCACCCCAGTCTCCTTACAGCCTCTCGCCTGTGACAGGCTAGGATGGGTGGAGGCCAGGACGGCTTTTCCTCCTTCCAAGTTTGTTAGCATGTGCTCCCTGACGTAGCATCCTCTGCAGGTGGCGGTGGTGCCGTCCTGTTCAGAATAACACTAATCCCATTAGAGACTGCAATGGAGGGTGTAGTGTTTGGACATCGTGGACAAGTGTCCAGGCTGCCTCAGCTCAAACCTGGCACCGTCGCCTACCACCTGCCCACAGAACAGCTGGGAGCTTAGAACCTCGTACCTTTGGATTAGCAGTGTAACACCTTCCACGAAGCCACCAGAACGCTCTCAGATGTGAGGAGAGTGGCAAATTCTGTGCTGGTCACGAAATCTTTACATCTTGAGTTTGGATTTAAGGAGTTAAAAATTCGAGGAATGCCAGTGTTTTATGTAACCTCTTGCCACCTTGTTATGGACAGGTTCGTAGGTGGGGTCTAGTCCAGGTGTATAGCTACGGTGCCATTCTCTGAGTCAGCGTGAAAGGGAGTCCAGTGAACGAGACCCCAGCACCTTTGGAGCCCACTGCTGGGTTTACCAGTCACATCTGCTGTGTTTGGAGTGGGTCTGGATGTTAGCAACACAGAAATAGTAAGAAAGACCTTTCCAGAATCTTCTCATTTTTTTCAGGTAGCTGATCGTCTGTTTTCATCATTCGGGCAAGATATACTGGATGCGCTCTACTGGACAGCCACGGAGCCGAAAGAGAGGAAAAGGGCCCACATCGGCGTGATTCCACACTTCTTCATGGCCGTGCTCTATGTCTGTATCCTTCCTGCCTGCCCAACAGACCGCCAGTCAGTGCACAGTCCACATGACCGCGGACAGTTAGCTGTTTGCCAGAGTTAAACACATAACTGTACATACACATAGATCAGGAGCCCTGAGGGACAACAGTTATGCACTGAGCACCTGACACAAGATTGAAGGTTCAAGCCTACCCAGCAGCCCAGTTGGAGAACAACCAGCGTGTAGTGTAGCCCATGCTGAGTTGCTGGCCCAGAGGCCGTTTCCAGTGCTTGAAGTCCGCCAGGGAAGAAAGATGGGCAGTCTCCTCCCATTGTCATTTACAGCCTCTGAAACCCGATGGAGGGTCGCTGTGGCAGGGAACTCACTGAATGTTAGTGAGTGACAGTGAATACTGAGTTTGACAGCTACTAGAGGGAATAGGACAATAAAAGGCTTATATAAAGTACGAAAGAGCAACGCTGTCAGTCTGGAGACTAAGGTGCGCCTGATCCAGGCCACAGTCTTCATGATTACTTGCTGTGCATCACTAGGGATGAGAGAAGGAGAATTGATGAGAAGGAGAATTGATGCCTTTGAGCGCTGGTGCTAGAGAAGAGTACTGAATATACCATGGACTGCTAGGAGGACAAATAGGTTCATCTTAGAGAGGGTTAAACTAGGCTGCTCCTTGGAGGCAAGGATTCTGAAGCTCTGTCTGACATACTTTAGACATGTTTCATGGAGGGACCAGTCCTTGGAGAGGGGACATCATGCTCAGAAGAGTGGAGGAACAGCACAAGAGAGGAAGACCCTCAGTGAGGTGGATTGATTCAGTGCCTGGGGTACTGGGGGTAGGTGTGTCAGAGACAGTGAAGTTGGCCCAGGATAGAGCAGAGTTCAGAGCTTTTTACATAGGGTCACTAAGAGTTGCAGGTGACTCGACAGCACATAACAACAACAGCAACACTTGATTCAGAAAGCGGTCATCTTTTTCTTTCGTTATTCCCAGTCATGACATGTATACTAAACCTATCATTGTCACATCTGTTCAGTTCATCCGAGCCTGTGGGACAAAGGCAAACTGCCCCACCGAGTTTCCAGAATTCTCATCCGTACAGAAGCAGACTGCCGCATCTTTCTCCCGAGGAGTGGTGGTGGGTTCAGAAGACAGAGCTGTGGGTTAAGAGCCCAGTGCTTGACCACTGGACACCTTCACGGTTCTATAATGTATCTGTTAATGTAACATCAAAACAGACTTCCGTTTTTTCCTTGACCCATTTCCTGCCAGTTCTGCATGCAATTCTTATAATGGTTCAAGCAACAACCCTCAACGTAGCTTTTAACTCTCACAACAAGTCACTGCTTACTATCATGATGTCTAATAACGTAAGTATGAGGCACCGTCTGCCTGTTTGTAAATGGTGAACTACGCAGGAAACGTGCACGGTTACAGTAGCTGCAGGATTCCAGCGGGTGAAGTTCTCTGACCTACGGCAGGCCTTTTATAAAGAAAACAAACTAGTAAACATGATGTTTTTGTTTCTTCTTTCAGTTTGTTGAAATTAAAGGAAGCGTTTTCAAGAAGTTTGAGAAGAACAACCTCTTTCAGATGTCAAACAGCGGTACGTATGATGCTATCCCACGTGCAGCTCTGTGAGGGCAGCATTATTTGCAGTTGGTTCTGAAACTCCTGTCACATTTCAGAACTGGGCCACCGTGGCTTTGACTTGAGCACTTGGCCATGGTGTTGAATCTACCGCGGGTAAATCTGCTGCAGAAGACTTCTGTAAAGGATTAAAAGGCTAACAGGTCACTTTGAAGGCTGAGGCGTGCCTGATGCAAGTCACCACCCGCTGTGGGACAGTGTAGGCTTGCGCCCAGTGGAGACAGTGCAGGGTCTGGCAGGGTGGAGATCTGATTTAGGATCTCTGTGTGTAGGAGTCGACGTGATGGCACCTAACAACATGCATAGGGTGCTCCACTGGCCTAGTAGTAAGGAGCTGCACTCTCAACCCAAAGGCTTGCAGTTCAAATCCACCAGCTGCCTCACAGGAGAAAGATGGACAGTCAACTCTTGTGCGGTTTACCACCTCAGAAAACCCACTGGAGGTGTGAGTGTGTTCCCCCTCGAGGGGACGCAGCAACAACCAACATACGTGTGTGAAAACTGGGCAATGAATAAGGCAGATTGATGTTGAAAGGCAGGTGGTGTTAGCAGAGAGTACTGAACACACTGTGGGCTGCCGGAACTGCGGACAGATCTGCCTCGGACGACGGAGAACCCCAGTGTCCCACGAGGCTGGGATGGTGAGACTCCGCTCATCTGCTTTGAGGGCGTTAATCCTGAGGGACCAATCCTCAGACAAGGTCAAAGTGGGAGATCATCGGTAAAGAGAAGACCTTCCGCGAGATGAATTGTCATGGTGACAGTCGCAGCAGGACGCAGCCGCAGTTGTGAGGGTGGAAAAGGAGCAGACAGTGTTATGTTTAGTCAGAGCTGGCTTCACAGCACTTAAGAACAGCAGTCATCAGTGTCTTGTCTTGGCTTCCTTCTTAACTTTGTTGTTACATGTTTAAGGTAATGGAACTTAGTAACACGTGCATAGCATCTTCTGTACTTTCAGAAACCTTTCACTGATCTAGAAATTTCTGTGAGCTAGATGACGATGTTCCTTGGAGAGGAGAGGACTGTGAAACAGGAAGAAGCATGTGACTTCTGTGGTCCCTCCCACAGCTTCCCAGAGCAGCATTGTGATGTGCCCCAGGTTCTGTCCACAGTCTCCGCTTTCCCAGTTAGAGCTCACTGCCTGCTTCTACTCCGAGGAGGCGTGAGAACACAGACGTCACCTCTGAGAACATACTCTTACGTCGGTATGACCTCAGAGCAGCATAAGGCAGTGGTTCTGAGTGCGGCTCCCAGAACATCACGGGCGAGCCACGACCTCTTGGAATTCATTTCCACAATGGTTCTCATGAGAAGACGAGGATGTAGTTTGTCTTTCTGACCCTGTGGGCGTTTGTACAGGTGTTGGAGGCTGTGGTTCCTGAGTCACGGCAGGTGGAGGACAGTGAAGCCCCTGGATTTGCTGACGTCTTTGAGGTCATGGGGCGGCATCGAGGGAGAGAGGCTGTGTGGTGGGTCTTAGAAGGCTCACAGTACCGGGGCATCAAGGGAGGGAAGGTGTGTAGAGGACCTTAGAGGGCACTCAGTCCTGGGGCATCAAGGGAGAGGTGTGTAAGTGGATCTTAGAAGTCACATGGTACCAGGGCATCAACGGAGGGAGGGTGTGTAGAAGACCTTAGAGGGCACTCAGTCCTGGGGCATCAAGGGAGAAGTGTGTGGTGGATCTTAGAAGACACCCAGTACCAGGGCGTCATGGGAGGAAGAGTGTGTAGAGGGCCTTAGGGGCACCCAGTTAGGGGCATCAGTGGAGAGGTGTATCTTAGAAGGTGCTTCGAAGGCACACATGTGGTTTACAGGAACTTGATTAGACTTTGGACCTCTGCACCCTTGTATGTTCTTGAGATAGTGAGAAAGTCTAAAATGCTAAAATGAATTTGCCCTTATAGATCCCACAAAAAAGCCTAGGGGGCCTTCAGGGGTCCTAGGATACACTCGGCACCCCACTTTCCAATGGTGATAGGCTCGAAGGCCATGTACGTTGGCGTGTAATGGGCCTACATGGACGGCCTCTTTGTTTCGGTTTTCCAGAATCAACCAGGCCGTCCGCTGAGAGCTGGAGATCCGGAGTGTCAGTCTCCAGGAGGGTGGGGGGGTGCATGGACTAGGGCCGGCGCCAGCAAACGGCTGCTCCGGGGGAGGTGGGATATTTGGAAGTAGCTCTGTCTGTTTACATGAGTTGTTCCAGTGCTTAGCTTAAGGAGTGGTACTGCCAACCCAAAGGCAGTCTGTTTGAATCCACCAGTGATCTATGGGCAGAGAAGTCTCCTCCTATGAAATTTACAGCCCCTGAAAACCTGCTGGAGGGTTAGCCGTGAGTTGCTTCCCATTGGAAGGTTCATAAGGTAACATGTTTACATGGTCTGAGCCTGCTTTTGCTAATAGCGAAGTGGAATCGTTACAACAGGGCCTTAAAACGTGCAGAGTGACACACGTTACCCTGCAACCCTTGAGCACATCTGAGGCTTTGGCCTTCCTTAGGGTGAAGTGTGTTTGATTATCAGCGCTTTTGCTCTGTAATAGCAGAATGGAATCATTACAACAGGGCCTTAAGACGTGCAGAGCGACCATGTTACCCTGTGGGCCATGAGCATGTCTGCGGCCTTGACCTTAGGGTGATGTGCCAGTGATTATCGGCGCTTTTGCTCTGTAATAGCAGAGTAGAATCATTACAACAGGGCCTTAAGACGAGAGGGCAACACGCGTTACCCTGCGGCCTTTCAGCGCGTCTGCATCCTTGGCCTTCCAGTGTGTCTGTGGCCTTGGCCTTCCTTATGGTGATGTGCGAGCACAGAGAGCCCTCTAGCAGGGCTGGATCGGTGATGCCATTCACACACCTGAGCGCTTTCCTCCAACCACAGCCACTGTGTCACCAGGCAGTGACAGTCATTTCTCTAAGGCTAGGTTATACCATACAAGGTCATAGAAGAAGAGAAGAACAGGGAAAATACAGGCAAGGAAATGGCTGAAATCTCAGCTTTGTGTGGTGTGCAGTAAGACAACGGAAGAGTCTGAAATGGGACCAATGGATTTAGCTGTCAGAGAGGGAAAAAACCAGGTTGTATCAGGATGCTCGCAGTGATGCTCAAGGAGGTGTAGTTCTTGCGGAAGGAGGTACCGGGCTGTAACACCTGCAAGGTAGAGCAGAGGGCAGGCCCTGAGGAGGGGGGAGCCCAGGGACCATGACGAGGGGCCCCTGCATGTGTGTTCAGAGGGTTCCATTTATGTGACTGGGTTTTGAATCTTTATAACTTCGGAGAGTATCTTCCCATTGACAAAGTAATTGCTAACGCCTAGAAATCTAAGGAAAGCGTGTTGGTGGGGTTTCTGTGAGGTGCATGCAGTCAGTTCCAACTCACAGCACAAGAGAGCCACCCACACGTCCTCCAGGTGCCGTGGTGCTTGAGGCCACGGTCACAGCCATTCTGTCCGCTCCACTGTCGAAGGGCTTCCTTTTTGTCATTGACCCTCTGCCAAGCATGATGTCCTGCTAACATGTGGGATCTAGTCTTACCACCCATGTCGCCGTAAGTGGACTCCTTCCAAGGAAATGTCTTTATTCTTTGGACAGTCCATGGTACACGATGTTGAAGTTCTTGCTTACTTTGGGCATGTGGCCAGGGGAGATCAGTCCTTGGACCAGGACATCATGCTCGGAAGGGTAGACGGACAGCGCAGGAGAGAGAAACTCCAGATGAGATGGACTGATACAGCAACTGGGGTGATGGGGGTTGGTGTGTCAGAGTTAGTGAGACTGGTTCAGGACAGAGAAGGGTTCAGAGCTGCTGTACACAGGGTCACTATACATCACAGGAGACTCAATGGCACATAACAACAATAACATACTATGACAGGTTTGGAAGCAGGAGTGGCATCCACTTCCTAAATAACATGCCTCCAAAAACCCTCTGAACTTTGATAAATTTCGATGGTTGTAGAGGGGCTTCAGGCCTTTTGTTCACAGGGTCGCTATGAGTCATGCTCAACTTGAAGGCAATAGCAATAATCACCACAATTTAGAAAACACTATTTCTACTTTGATCTTTCTAAGGACATCATGGAAACAAGCAGATGTTTTCATAAGAATGTTACTTGCAATATAATTAATATTG